GGGTATAGAGAAACAGAAGGAAAGAGGAGTCGAGTCTAATCAGTGGTGCAGCTCTTTGAATATTGTGTTTCAAGTCATCTTACTTCCTTAGTCCTTCAGTAGCTAATGAGGCTCATAATATTTTGCTTTAATGTTAAAGACAAAGTCTTGTTCCAATTTCTGTACAGTGCCTTGTAAGAGTCTCGTAAGTATGCCAACATTTGGTGACTAGCTGAAAAGGAGAAGATGATTGATGTTTAGAAGACCAATAAAGAAAAAAAAACCCAAAGCTTTCCATTGTGATTCCAGATAGATTTTTAATTTCCCAGTAAGTTGGCAGTGAGGAAACAAAAGCGAGTTGTTTAAACTTGCAGCTGAATAGCATAGTTTGGAATGTATCTATCTGCAATCTCAAGAGGTATTAACAAAGATTAAACATTGAATGTAGGTGTAATCCATCAACAGGAAGTTTTTCTGTGTAGGACAGTTGAAGGCAATTTAATAGGAGTCTCTGGTTTTGTGCAAAATTTTTTTCGACGTGTAATATCTGGAATGGCACTGGACAGATGACCCAGCTTTAGTGTACTTTTTTTTTTTTTGGTCAGAAAAACAGGAAATATACACTGGGCATCTGAAAACAGTTCAGTAAAGTTTCAACACTACAACCTATTGTTACATTGTAGTTTATTGCACATTCTGATTATTTTTTTAAACACTTTTTTTAACACTGGTTTGTCTTAAACTTGAATCTTGCCTCAATGTCTGATACAATAATCTTTGTTGCAAGGTTGGTTTTTTAATTAAAAGTTATTTCTATATATATGTTGTATATAGTCTGAATTTGACGGCCTTTTAGAAGTGAAGAAAGCAGTAATGCTTCTTCTTGGCACAGGGACCTGCCTGGCCCAAGAATGGCTTTGCAAACACACTGCAGTGGCAGCAGCACTGAGCTTCCCTGTTGTCCTGAAGCTGCACTAGCACCACGATGAGGCTAAGGTTCCTTGCAGCGTCTCAGCAGAGAGGTGAATTTTTCCATCTCTCTTGTCCTGCATGTGCATCTGCTCTGGGGAGGAGGTTTCTCAGAGTTAAGTGTCTCAAATGCTTTACAGGTCTTTTCCATACCTATATCCATTCATTAAGAAGCCTGATCTGATCAGCTCTCACCCAGCTTTGTTGTAAGGTCCGCACTTCCTGCTCTGTCTGGTCTCTGGGGCAGCGGGAGGAGTTTCTGCAAGTTAAGAGATGGGACAGACCAAGAAGACAAGTGATTGAATCACCTTACAAAGGTGCTGTGAGGAAATGGAAATGCAACACAGCATCTTCTAGTTTGAGGGATGGGAAGGGAAAGACATTAAAATGAGGCTCCAAAAGCCCTGCATGATAGGAGCTGGATTAACCGAGTTTGGTCAGCCTGGTGGACTGCTGTTCAGTGCCCAGCTGTGCTGTTGAACCACTGGGTCAGTGGTCTCCAGTGTGCTGGTCTAAGGCAGCTGCTTGCTACCTTGCCAGTTGCAGAGCCTGCACAAGCCCTTACTGATACCAGCAAGGGTAAGCACTTTTTCTTGGTTCCCTCTTTAGATCTTATTTTCAGCCACTGGGGAACCAGCTAGGGCCTCACAAGGCATCAATAAAAAGGCTAGCCAAGAAAGGCTGGGCAATCAGAAGAGTGAAAAAAATCCCTGGAGAAACTATAAAAAAAGTCTATTTGGTCATTACCCTGTACCACCAGCATCAGAAGGCCTTTCTCTTAACAGCTGCCTCTCAGCTGACTAGACCTGTGACAGCAGCTGCCACTGCCTTAGCACACAGAGCTACCTGCACCAGACAACTGAAGCGTTTCTTCCTCCCCACCGCCCTGCCACAGGGCTGCCCTCCAGGCCAGGGTGGTGCCTGCCATCAGGAGAGCAGGACATGGAATCGTGACAGGCACAGGCCAGCAGGGAGGGGGTGACCCAGAACAGGCTGCATTTACCTTACCTGCATTGCCTGCTTACCTCTAGCAGCCCTTCTGGCAGGAGCAGATGGGGAACATGACGTGCACATGTCCAGGGAGATGATGTTCAGGAAGCCCTTGGCTGTTCTCGTCACCCACAGCACCAGCAGTCATTGCCCACCTTCCTGCAGCAGACCAGGCGCTGTGCTCTGCCCTCTGTCTCTTCTCTGTGCATCTTGGCTCCAGCCAGCGAGGTACTTGATTTTTCAGTTAGCCCCGTTTCACTACTGGGACAAGGTTAGAAAACTTCCTTAACTGAACTTGTCTCAGGACCAGCCCACTCCTTTCACCTCCTTTCCCTGTGCTGTGTGCAGCTGAGATCAGCACTAGGACTCTGGTTTATTGCCTGCAGCCCTTTTCCCCGCAGAGCTGGACTCGCATCTCCAGACAGTTCAGTCTTGCATGAATGTTGGTGTCATGAGGGAGCTGCTGGTGGTGGGAGCCGGCTGGAAACTCAGAGCCAGGCTCATGCTTGAAGCCATAAAATGTGTGAGAAACCCCTGCTTGTTGTCTTTCCTTTTTAAACAGGGGGAAAAGAAACAGAACTGTTTTGTCTTTTGGCTGCTGAACTAAGAAACCAGCTGTCAGCACTGCTCCAAATGTTGTGGCTCAAGGTATTAAAAAGCCTGACTGTGAAATACCAACTTAAACAATGCAGCAAGGCCTCCCTCCAGCCTCCTGCATGAAGCTGGGCTGTCGCAGCTTCCCAAAGCAAGCCTTTCCCCTTGGGCTTTTTTTACCCTTTTCAGTGGAGACATTTTTCTAAGGCCACTTACCTTCTGCTTCCTGCTGTTACCAGGGTTTAAAGGCTTCATCTCTGCATCCAGGACCTAGTACTGGAATGTAAGTACAAATACAAACTTCTAAGCCCTATTAAAATTAAGCTCTGTTTGCGTCTGCTGCAGCTGTTTATCTTGCTCAGGGATGTATTCTGTACCACCCTGTGAAGCCCAGCCTTACTCACCTACATCAGAGATTCATTTATCCTGTTTTCCAGTGCAGACAGAGCCTTTTCTCTGTCAGATCACTCTAGACTACTCTGGACCATGTGACTAGGAATCACCAGACCATGCTCTCTGGTGTTGTTGAAACTTTATCAGAGTATTGCAACATCAAACGGTCCTGGGTTTGTTTGGCCCTGTGGACACCATCCAACCAGCTGTTGTGGTTTTCATGCTAGTGTTGGGTTCAAGTCCTGCAGCTGTGGTGCTTCTGCTGTGGGGTTACATTACTGTGGTCAGGCCTAAAAACACAACTTCTATTCAGGAATAAAGGCAAGACTGGAAGAGGCTTAAGCATTAACAGACCAAATATCATTACTACTACTTCCGTGGATGCTCTGTGGTCACTCATAGCTTTAACCTTAGATGTGCAAAAAGTGGCTGCAGTAGTAGCCAGCTGCACAAACCCATCTTGGTGGGATTTAGAAAGGAGCAATTGGGTAATTTTACTGTTAAATTTCTCCCTCCCATAACACTCCTAACCTGGGAATCAACGCAAGTGCAAGCTACCAGATTTAACACTGACCAAGTGACCCCAATCTGTGAAATAAAACCTACCGTATGGTTACATGCTCAGAACAAAGCATAGTACCCCCAATTAACTACCATGACTTTGGGATATCCATCCACCCCAAATTTGAAAAAAGACAACCAACAAACCAGAAAGAGCTTGATTACCCTTTCCAATCAGCTGAAGGCCAACTGCAGGAGGCAAGGACATTACAGCTGTTGTCCTGCTGCTTTCAATAGCATGAAAAGCCCCACTTCCCATTCCTCAACATTTTTCACAGCCTGTTAGTGGCTGCTTAGCCTTTATTTCAGATACTACAGCCTGTTTCTCTGTGCATACTGTATTAAACTACTACACAGGTTCTTTCCTCAGTACAAATAAGCTGCTTTTCCACATCTAACAGTAATCTGGGCTGTTGCCTTTCCTAGTCAACCTTTCTTCTGACAAACCTCTTCTGAAAGACATCCTCAGTGCAGTAGGTCCAAATGACTCCATTTTTCTTTGGCTAGTTTGCAATCGAAGTTGTGAGTAGAAACAGGAAGCAAAGACATTTGTTTACCTAAACCCCAGTTAACCATGAAGGAAAAAGCAGTATGTGAGCAATTTCAGACACTTGTCTAGATTGTCTGAACTACCCCTGGCTCCTCCTTCTTCACAACAGCACTGACTCAGCTGTCACCTCCCACAGCCACCAAGCAGAGGCTGATCTGTGGGACACCTTGCAGGTCCTGGGCTTAGGAGAATGGGTGCATCAGCTCTATCACTGCCTCAGCATTTGGAAGGCAACATAGTGGAAGGACAAACAGCTTTGACTTTGGCCTTGGGAACTGGCTGCAGCTGTTGAGCCTTCTGGCCTGCTCCCCTGGGGCAGCAGACTGGTTGCAACTCTTCTGTAATTACAACTTAAAGGGAAGAATACCATGCAGAATGCCATGAAAGATTAAAAGAGTCAGAAATACTAATTAGAGCCATGGGAGGCGGGTCTATCTAAAATTACCTGCTCAGGTCTTCTAGTGGGTTGTAACCCTCACCTTTCACGTGCCCCAACAGGCCAGTCTGTGAAGTCAGAACAAGCAAACTGGAGGTATTAGAACAATCTGGTTTCCTAAGAGGATTGTTAAGCCACCTTACAGAGCCACCAGAAAGCACTGCAGTAGCTTGAGACTCCTCCAGGTCTCCATCTTGAGTGCTTACCAGGGCTTGTATACAAACCAGGGAGGCTGTGTCTCAAGATTAAGTTTTAAAGGCAGTATTCTTCCATCAAATCTCATCACTTCCAGGAATTTCAGACACAGCTGTCTTAGCTGGTTACTTGAAAGGTAAATCAGAAGGTTATTTCCCAGTCTCTGACCTGGTACAGATGCTTGAGGTCAAGTACTTCTATGCAATAAAAGCACAACAGGGACATTTCTGGCACCTGTGGGACTTTTTAGCCCTCTCAAAACTGCATTTTCCCCAAACTTACTCCCAAAACTACTCTTTTTTTTTTTCCACAGTCAGCTTAAAGGAGACTTACCACACCAAGGGAGGGGTGTTTAATGCAGATATTGAAAAAGTTTTGTAGGAATGCACAGATCAAATGACAAAATACAGACAGCAGTTTGATTAGTCTTCCACAGGAGAGATTGCCTGTGGTGATGCTACACTCTTCTAGCAAGCAAAAAAAAAAGTGACTGAAGTTTCGTTCAATCCAGTCAGCGTTAGAAGTTGTGCCATAAAATTAGCCTCCACAGAATCAAGAGACAGGTTCAAACCATTGCATTTCCAGCCCTGACAGACAGGCAGAATGTTTTTCACTGCTGCTTGCTTCATTGCAGCGAAGGAATGATTCCTCTGTTCAGCAGCAACAAGTTCCTGTAATTAAATGTTCATCCAGCCCTCCCTTACACATGAGAAACAAGGGTTCTCCTGCAGGCACAGAGCCTTGGACACTGCTTGAGGTAGGCCTCATCGATCCAGGCAGCGTTTCTGAGCTGCTTCTGAGCACACGTTCCTCAGGAGATTGATCACAGATCGTGGATCTGCACTCTTCATAATAGCACTGCCAGACACAATCATATTTGCACCTGCCTGAAAGACATTAAACATCCACTCAGTAACGAAACAGATCCATTTCTTAAAGAGGTTTCTTGCTGTAAAGCACATAAGAGGTGGTGAATTCTAGGCTGGTGGCCACACAAGGACTACTTGTGGGACAGAGATTACACACCTCTAACTACAACCAGAAATCAAGTTCAGAAAAGACAGCTCTTCCCCAAATAGGTAATTTCTTTATCACTGCGCCCATTTACCGAAACATGTAAGAAACAAACCACTTCTCTAGCTTAGGGGAGGCTTCAAGAGCCACTACGAAAAAAGGCACAAGATTAGACTCTGAGTAGACTTTTACATTAAGTGGGCTTTACTGTTCCCTCTGAAACCGACCACCAAAACGCAATCCCTCCTCAACTTGGTTTTCCAAGGAGCTATGAAGTCTCTCGGCACAGTGACCGAGAGCGCTGCTGTGCTTCAGCCTCTTACCTCTGCACACTTGTGGATGGTGTCAGGCCCAACCCCTCCATCCACTTCGATATCCAATGAGGGAAACTGTGTCCTCAGCCACAGAACCTGAGACACCACGTAAAAAGGTTGGCAGGAAGACCCACACTCAGCTGCTACAGTTACCTTCTTACCCCACCAGACAAGGTTTATTCACTTCGCCACTACACTCCATGCTGTTAATCACCTTTAGGCTCAGTAAATAAGGAAAGAGAAACTCAGCTTACCTTTGGCATCATGTCTTCCATAAATTTCTGCCCTCCGAATCCAGGTTCTACTGTCATCACCAAAGCCATGTCTATCTGGTTGGCCCAAGGTGCCAAGTGTTCAACTGTGGTGGCAGGCTTGATGGCCAAGCCAACCTGCAGGAGAAGGAAAGACAAATCCAAGTGCACCTTAGGACGACAAATGCAGCAAGACTGGTCTGATCCCTAGGAAAATAATAACGTGTCAGTGTGAGTGCAGTAAGAGCAGGCTGCTTTAAAGAAACATTCCTCATTTTTTTAAAATTAACATTCAAGACTGACTTGGTGCACAATGCTAGGGCTGCACATGCCAATCTCTGACCACCCAGAACTGCACTGATGGGTTCTTCACTGCCAGAAACGTGGTAGGTAGTTATGCAGGAAGCAGTGGGCTGCTCCAGGCATATGCTCCCCTCACCTTCATTCCGTTCTCCCGAATGTCTTTTATCAAGGCCCCGGGGTTGTCTGTAGCCTCCAGATGAAAGGTGTACTGGTTTGCGCCCGCGACAGCCATTGGTTTCACCCACTGCTCTGGTCTGGCAACCATCATGTGCATGTCTGGAGAAGGGGAGGGAGCAAGGAGCCATCAGCAAGCTGGCAGTGCCCAGTGGTGTCCCCAAAACTGGGTTGTTCACCCAGTGTGCAAATAGCAATGGAGGGGCAAGAGCTGAGACACCGGGTTCATCCCAGTTCTGCACAGAAAAGCAGGCTAAGCTGCCCCTGGCAAAGCCAGCACACCTGGTAAGGCATCAACAGGGCCTTACAGATAACATGCCCAAAAAGCAAATGCCTGGTCAGTCACTCGCCACTCCTAACTTCACAAACCAAGGCAGAAATTGACTATTCTCTTCAGTCGAGGCTGGTGCTGCCTTTTGTTTCAGATCAGGTTGCTCCCCCCGCCATGCTCTGATGCCCCCCAACAACTACACAAGCCCA